GAGAGCCCAGGCGGCACTGGCCCCCTGCCTCCCCACTAAGTGGAGGTTTCTCTTTTCAGGTACTGTCCCAGCTGTAAGAAGCATCAACAGGCCACAAAGAAGTTTGACCTGTGGTCCTTGCCGAAGATTCTGGTGGTCCACCTCAAACGCTTCTCCTACAATAGATACTGGAGGGACAAACTTGATACAGTTGTGGAATTCCCAGTCAGGTGCGTCCCTGGGCTGCACTGTTATTTTTGGGAAAATTAAAAAACAGGCAGACAATCTGGGCACTGATTGGCAGAGTGTTTTGCTGCCAAAGACTTTTCTGCGTTAAGGTGTGTGTGTTGCTAGGCTCTGAGAAGTTAGACTTTGGCTCACTTCCCCTCCGTGTCTGTAGGGAAAGGACTCTCTAGTAGAAGCACTTCCTCTCTCGAGTCCCTTACGCAGCCTAACTGAACTGGTCTTCCCATCTGTCATTGGTCCCAGGGAGCCCAGGCTCAGTAGAGCAGCACAAGGACATGCTGTACCTCGTTAATGCAGGGGCACAAGGAACCAGAGAGTAATCTGCTGGGGAGAGTTGGGTTTTTGGGGGTGCAGATCCACCACAGTCCTGTCCCTGGGGCAGGGACTGAGACTGGCTGTCTACTAGTGTCCTCTTAGGCCCCAGGGTACAGAGTATAAGTGACACAGGCAAGTCAGTCAACAAGGTAGGAGTCCCCCCACAATATGCAGATTTAAAAATGCTTTTTGGGGGATGGGGGATGGGTAGATAGTTACATGAAGTATAGACATGTCAACGGGAGGACCTAGGTGGTGGGTGTATACATGTTTGTTGTAAAATTCTTTTTTTCTGTATGTTTGAAATTTTCAAAATAAAACGTTAGGGAAAAAAGCTTTTGGGGGCCTATTTTGGTATTTAGCTTAAATTTTTATGGCACTAATTAGTAATTCTGATAGTAACAGCCATTTTTACAAAGTTGCTGCAGCCCTCGTGTCTGCCCAGAGCCTTCTTTGACATTTGGTCTCGGCTAAGGCTTCTCTTTTCCAGTCTGAACATGTCAGTGGTCAGAACAAGACCCCAGGGCTCCTTCTGTCTGGACTGTTCATTCGTTCCTTCTGCACTTAGTTTCTGAGGGCCTCCCTGTGTTATAGCCTGTTGCATGAAAGGGGTTGCTGGGTTGCTCTGACTTCTTTCTCTGAGTTTAACGTATTAAAGGGTTATTTTTGTTTTCTTTGCTCAGAGCTCTGAACATGTCTGAGTTTGTCTGTGACCTGTCAGCCAGGCCTTATGTGTACGACCTCATTGCCGTGTCCAATCATTATGGAGCCATGGGGGTTGGCCACTGTAAGTACTGGAATCTGCTTCCTTCTGAGATGTTGAAATGCCCATGGCCAGTCATCTTTCACCAGCCTATCCCTGTGTGCCAGGCATTGCCCTAAGCACTTAACTTACACAGCTCCACGGGCCTCAGGTTGCGGGCTTTTTCCATATTGCTGCCCTTCAATTTTTCTGGTAGGATGGTGGTTCATATTCTTTAATCCAATAATCCACCTCTGGGAAACCTAAGGAAATTACTTGACTTTGGGGAAAAGCTTCATGTGCAAAGATATTCACCTACTTATAATAGTGAAAAATTAGTATTATTTATAATAGTGGAAAATTAATAATAGCATTGGTGATCAACCGTTGGCACGTCTGTCCATCGATTTCATGGAAGAGTACACAGTCATTGCAAAATAAAATTAATAATAACATGGGGAAATACCCATGGTATGTTAAGGGAAAACAGCTACACAAAATTGCATCATTACAGAAAGTAGTATCAACTACATTGAAACAAAAGAGAAACTATGATAGGAGGGGGGGAAAGCCTAGGAGGAGAGAGACCAAAATGTTAATTTTTTCTTCGTTCTACTTTATTTTCCAAAATTTCTATAATGTGTAGGTTTATCTTCACTTTTATACTTTTACTAGTTTATTTTGTTACTTGTTTATGGAAAGGTTTTAGTGATGTTGAAGTGAAGAGCTGGGTTTCCTCATCTCTCTTCTATTGCATCTGCACCATGATAACTGCCACTACACCCAGTGTCAGGACCCCAAGAGATGATACCATGGGAGGTGTCAGTTCCATTTACACTCACAGTGGATTATGGAACTGCCCTAAACCCCAGTCTTCTCTTCTATACTGATAAGCTTTTTCTGTTGGCCCAACAGTCTGTTCTCCTGCCTCTCCATTCTTACCATATCACCTCTTGCCTTTAGATGGCTGCTCAGTCTCCAGCCCTCAGGTCTACATTCCAGGCCATTAGAAGAAGAGGAAAAAAGGGCATGACCTTCCCTTTTAAGCAGATCTCCCAGAAGTCCCCCTCAACTCCTCTACATACAGCTCATTGGCTATCACTTGGTCACAGGGCTACCATCTAGCTGTAGGAGAGGATGGGAAATAAAAATGTGCCTGTTTGAAAATTGGGGCGCTACTGGAGTGGCTATTAGCAATCTCTGATCATATCATATCCTGCAGCACTTACTCTTCTCTAACTTTTTTCTCCCCAAAGTAATTTCACTATCTATATTCATGCATACTGGACACATGTATTCATTTTTAACTTCCATTTTAGCATCTAAACACTGCTAGGGCAGGTTACTTAGCCTCTTTATGCTTCAGTTTCCTCATCCAGGTTAGGCTTCAGTTTCGTCATCCAGGTTAGGCTGGTTATGTGCAGGTCCACATTGGGTCCACAGTTGGAACGCCACAATTGAGAGCCACCATTGCTATTGTTATGCCAAGCATGGACAGCGGGGACACGCCCTTGGCACCTTCTCTGTCACTTTGTCCCATGTCGTCCACCACCACTTGGTGCAGTAGGCACTGCAGTGAGTAATGGTTAAACAGCTTAAAAAAAACCAGCTTGCCAAAGCCACACAGCAGGTTGAGACTGGAAACCAAATCTCCATCAGATTCTGTTGTTTCTGAGAGTCTGGGTGGAGCAGGGATTGGGTATTGCTGCTGGGATTCCTGTTGTAAACACATCCTGCTTCGAAATAGTGTAAAATCAAAACTGGAAGTGTTGGCTGTGGGAAATGCTTGCCCGGTGTGGGGAAATGCTTGGCCCGGTGTGAGGAATTGTTATCCAGCCGCAGATTCTTGACTCACAGTTTCGAAGGCAGATATATTTAAGTTTTCTTGTTCACATCCCAGCTTTGCAAACCCAAACACCCAATGTGTCCCTCTCTGGGATTATCCCACAGGCTCCAGAGGCAGTGAGAGGCAGTAGTAGCCAACCATCTGCCTGGATGAAGTGGGGGAGTTTGACTTGGCATGTTTTTGAGAACTGTTGTTTTGTTTAAATCTTAAAGTATCAGCTCCTTTTAAGTATCCCCTGACTCTGGGTTATTGCTCATAGCCACCCTGAAGATTGACACTGGATTCCTCTATTTTTTGGATTAGTTTTCCAAAATTACAGTTTAAAGCCTTGGTCCCCAGCAGCTCCATTTTTACCCTTTTAGTGCTTTTTTGAGAAGGAACAGATTTTTTTTTTAACATCTTTATTGGTGTATAATTGCTTTACAATGGTGTGTTAGTGTCTGCTTTATAACAAAGTGAATCAGCTATACATATACATATATCCCCATATCTCTTCCCTCTTGCGCCTCCCTCCCTCCCACCCTCCCTAGGAACAGGGTTTTTTTTAAAGGATGAGTTATCTTTTGGTTGTTAGGACACAACCTATAAATTACTTTTAATTTCAGACTCTGTTTGTTTCATGTTTTGGAATTGTGTTGCTGTTGAGTGCCACTGTAATGAGCTAGCCACATTAGCTCTCTTGGTGACCGGCTAGAGTATTCTCTTGCTTTGGCAGACACTGCGTACGCGAAGAACAAACTGAACGGGAAATGGTATTACTTTGATGATAGCAGTGTGTCCCTGGCCTCCGAGGATCAAATAGTGGTGAGTAGGCCCTAATACCTGGTTCCCACTCTTACCTTTAGGGATTAGAGCCGGGAAAAGTCTTCCGGGCTAGTTGGTTATTTAGTCATCCTGCTGGGACAGTGGAAGCAAGGTGTGGTAGAGAAAGAGTTGGCTGCCATTCCTTATGGGACCCTTCCTAAATGAGATGCTCAACTCTCCTCGGGGTCTGTCACATGGCCTTTCCCCACTCCCTGGGGAGGGTCAGCATGAGCCAGCCTCAGGTAGAAGGGTTTTCACGGTCACTTCAGTGTGTGGCTGCACAGGGCAAGACGGCGGATCCCTGAGAGTGGTGTGTTTTGAACAGAGAGAAAAGCTGTGGGGGAATGGGTGATTTTTCCAACCAGTGAATGGATGTTGCCCCTCTTGTGTTTTAGACGAAAGCAGCTTATGTGCTGTTTTACCAGCGGCGAGATGATGAGTTGTATAAGACGACTTCACTCAGTTTTCCTGGATCCTCTGATGGAGGGACGAGACCAGGCAGCTTACAGCAGGGCATGGGGGATGATGAGACTTGCAGCATGGACACCAACTGATGCTGCCTCAGTGACCCTGCACCACAGCACCGGTGCAGTCCCTCAGGAGAACACCTTTGACACTGAAGACTTGCTAGTGTTCCGTCTAAAAACCGGATGAGGAAATTCTTTCTTTTATGAGAAAAAAAAAAAAAAAAAGGGTTATGTTAGGAGGCTGAATTATTTTTCTTTTTATACAGGTGGTGAGAAATTTCTGTAAAACCTCGTGGAGCTGCAAAGTAGGGGTCGGGAGGGGGGGCGCATAATGGAGTATGTCTGATGGATTCCAGAGAACGGAGAGGAACACACTGTCATTGAGTTTGGTGTGGCCATGAAGACCTGCCACAGGCTGGTGAATGATTACTGTTCCCCCCAGTAGTCTGCCCACAGTAAATGAAGCCTCGACTAAATGATGTCATCCCCTTCTCCTTTTCTGTGCACTGAGATGGGTTTATAATACCCTAAAAATTAGCCACCAAAGCCCATTTCTGTTTCCCTTTGTGTCATCTTGGAATATCCAGCTTTCTTCTCCCTAATGAAATGAAGATGCTTGGTGTTGGGGTTTCCTGCCCCTCCGTCTCCTGTGGAACCTAGCAGTTCTGTTATGTCCCCCAGCATCCTTGATGAATTGATACCCCTCTGGCACTTTTATTAGATATCACTTGGAAGTTGGTACACTAAACCGCTGGGTACTGGGTCGCGTCCAGTCGTTTCTCTCCCTGTTGGCTCGAGAATGGGAACCTTCCTGGGCTTGGGAAGGGCTCCCGTTCTCGCTGCTGACTTCCGTTAGAAGTGAGATCCCCGCCCCTCCAGACGATTTTCTTTCGGCGGTCTGGCCTCCGCATGCCTGCCCGGCCGCACTCTCAGGGCCGTTGTCTTTGTCGCGGGGAGGCCTGAGACCACTGTCCCCTTCGTGCGTGGGGCCCTTGCTCCCCCTTGCGTTGGTTCAAAGAACAAGGTCATCTGGGCTTTTCTTGTCTGACCTTTAACCTGAGCCGTGGGGGTTGGGTCTGTCAGTCGCGGGCACACGCGATCGATGAGGACGTGCGCGACGACCGTTGGTAGGGGCGGTGGTGCGGGAGCGCCGGCTGCTCGGTGAGGACCCGGCTGTGGGTCTCCGCTCGGGGGCTGGCCGCTGGGTGGGGCCGGGCTGGAGCCTGCGACCGAAGGGGCTGCGGGCTGGGATGAGGGGCCCGGAGCCGGGGGAGGGGGGGTGGTTCCGGCTCCATTGCCGATTCCTCCCTCCCGGAGAACCGCGGGCCGCACCTGACCCCGCGGAGGAAAAAGCGCCGGGAGTGGGCGTTTCCCCGCTCTCCGACCCATGGTGTGGGTCAAACTTAAGGAAATTGTGGCAAATACTCCATTTGGGGGTGGTTTACAACCTCATCTGTAACATTATTTTCACGTTGCTGTGTGCATTTCCAGTGTATTGTATAATAAAGACATGGTCGCTTTTAGGGGAGATGTCTGAAAAACTGAGAAGATGCAGAAAGGAGCTGACTGCAGCCATTGACCGGGCCGTTGAAGGACTTAGTCATTCCCAGGAGTGCTCAGGCATGCAGAGGCAGGAGCTGGACGCTGCGCCGCTTTCTTTCCCCTTGCCCATGCACAGGCTCCTCTGCAGGAGGCACCCGCTGGCAGCCTGCTCCTCTGCGGCTCCTTTCTCTCCTGTCCCGTTTGCTCCTGGGAATGAGAGCCCTGCCTTTGCACCAAACCACGAACCCGTGAGTGCAAAGACACGTGCTCTATGCCCCAAAAGAAAACCTCTGACCAGCAAGGAAAACATATCGATGCATTCCTCGATTTTGGCACCTGAAAGACAGTTTTGGAGAGCGGCAGGAGATGGGGAGAACTGGAGAAAAGACAGTCTAAGGTGATTCCAATCTGAATAGTTTAATAGCTATAATTAGGGTTATCTCATATCTGAAAAAATTGTTGAAAATCCTAAATTGAATCCATAACACTACTCTTGCCTCCCCTCTGAAGCTCTAAGACTTTATTTGGAAAGTTTGTAAACGTTCTTCAGAAAGTGTGTGTGTGTGTGTGTATGTGTGTGTGTGTGTTTGGTTTGAGGGGGTGAGGGGTCTTGGATGTCTAACCAGCCATGGAAACCACTCTGCAGTACCAAAAGGGGTAGTGAATGTTAAAGAACCTAGTTTTAAAAGTCATCTTATTTTTTGTACTGCAGAAACACATATCTTAATTCCAGTGTTTTTTTCCCCAAACTGGGGAGAGGCGGATCAATGGCTGGGCCCTGACTTCACCCTTGCTTCTGCTCCCCTTCCTCACCCCAGAGCTTTTTAGGCTTTCCCTGGGATAAGGTCTTCCCTAGACCTTTTCTTCTCCCAGGTAGCTGCAAACTGCCTCATCCTAGGCACCTTGATTTGAAGCAAGGAGGACCATATACGCTGAAACTTCAAGGTTCTGCCATCTTGGTTGCTCTGTAGTCAGAGACTGAAGAAGCCGTTTAATCATTTCAGTTCTACAAATATTTGTGCTCATATTCACAAACATTAATGGGCATTATGATGCTTTTAGTCAACTTCACTGATTCAGTGGTTCCCAGTCATCCTCTAATCACAGCATAAATGACAATTTAAAGTACGAGTGTTTGTCTTTAAGATTATCTAACACTGCATTCCCCTCCAGTATTTTCTTGAAAGAGGATCTAATCCCTCACCTTTTTCTTTTCACCTGGGGGCTGCAGGAAAGATATGGAGAAAGATTTGAAGGTTAAGTCAAACATGCCACTCAGCAGTTCTAGCCAAGAGGTCACAAAGGATTTGCTTGACATGATCGGTGAGTACAGAGGGCTGGTCCATCCTCTCTCTGGAAGGATAGGTTCTTCACACAGGCCCCTGAGTCAGCAAGCATCTTATAAAAAAAAAAATTCTTATTTCTTTTCCACTGGCTTGTTAGATTTGTTTTGCTCACAGCAGAGAGCCTTCATGGAGCTGATAACCTGGGGGAGTTACACATCAGTCAAGTCACTTCATAAATGTACAGTCAGAGTGAATCCTTGGAGGCCAGGGACAGCAGCCCCTGTTGGTGGATGAGCTTAGATGTGAAGGAAACAGGGCATAGGCAGAGATGGGGGTAGGGGTAGAGGAGAGTAGTCCAGCTGGGGGGGCATTAATACAAGATTAGAAGAAAAGTTAGAAGCCAAAAACTCCCCTATAATTCCACCATCCACCACAAAGGCAGCCACTGTTAACACAGTGCTGTATACCCTGTCATAGATACTTTTTCTACACACACATCTGTATATTCTGTGTGTGGACTATGTTTTTTTAAAAGCTATTTTATTTTTAGCTTTTTTTTTCTCATTTTTTGGCCACGCCACACAGCATGTGGGATCTTAGTTCCGCGATCAGGGATCGAACCCGTGCTCCCTGCACTGGAAGCTCAGAGCCTTAACCGCTGGACCGCCAGGGAAGTCCCAGCAGGCAGCATTTTGATACCCAAAAGATCCCATTTTTCTCACACTGTGTCTTGTGCCCACAGGTCAGGGAGTAGTTTCTTGAGGGCTGGAACAAACACATGCATCTCCATATCCTCCCACTTAAACCCTCCTTGGAAACCAAGGAGATGGTTGGGGCTCAATAAATACCTGAGCTAGGAAGGGGGGCACCAAGCCCATGTTAGAATGTGGCAGCCTGCCAGCCCCGGGGGCAGGAACACCGGCTTTGTAGAGTCCTCGGAAATGGCCGCCCATTTGTGGTTTTTAACTTGTGCCTGAAATGTCTTAAGAAACCTCTCACTGGAATTGTAATGCTGAATGTTTTTATTTTTAAGACCATACAGGCATCCAAACTATTGAAGAATTGGCTGGAAAACTAGAATTTGAAAATGAGTTGAACCGTGTGTGTGGTTGCTGTGAAGATTCTCCCTTCAGGGCGGAAGCCTGGGCCCTGCTGGTGGACGAGAGCCCTCAGGAAGCCTCGGATGCAGACCCTGGCGGCCTCAAGCAGGCTTTCTATGATCACAATATCGTGGAGACTGTTCTGGACTTGGAAGAGGACTACAATTTGCTGACCTCTTTTAAATACCGAATTGAGTAAGGACAGTTGACTTCAGCTTTGATTCTTTACAGCAGGAGTCTGATGTTAGGGCGTCTGTGCAGGGCAGTCACAGTTGTCATCAGGGGCCACATTCTTCAGAGGCTTGGCAGAATCTGAATTACCCCAATCTTTTTAACTTCCAGTTGTGTCCCTTCTTGAGCTGAGAGCCCAGTTTGTTTGTTTAATTCTGTTGCTCTGAAGTGTTTCTTTTTTTTTCACCTTTTTTTTTTTAACATCTTGACTGGTTTATTGATTGATGTTCAATATACCCAGAACCCAAGGCAGGTGCAGGTCTTGGGCCTCTGCTGTGTGTCTTCATGTTCTTTTCCATGGACCCCTGATAAAGTACGGGGGCCACAACCAGCATGGGCTTTCTGTACCCCTGGGACCAGCCCATCCCAGGCCAGCTCAGCCTGTATGGAGGAACTGGCGTCAAGATGGACCTTGGCCCTAGACCCTCTGCCATATTTGCGCACTTTGCACACAAGGCTGCCTGTCCCCTGCACGGGCCTCATGCCCTCTTCGTGTCCAGACCCTCAATCCCTCCATCCTTGCCCCTGCCCAGCTCAAAGCCCTCTGCAAAGGCCTCCTACTTGTGTCAGAGGGGCTGGTAGCATCCCTTATTAGGTTTCCTGGGCTGGAGCCAACCCTCCACCACAGCTTGAGAGAAAGGACATCATCAGAAATTATTTGGACAGATCTCTCAAAACCATGATGTTCTTTCAGGAAACCTAATAAGCTGTTGGGCAAGGTATCATGCCTCCCAGAAGCTGAGTCTAGGAAGTGCCCGCCTCCTAGGCATAGGGGAGTATGGGGGTAAGGAGTCTGGTGCAAAGCTGTTGTAAGACCCAAAACTCAAACCAAGGAGCTGGGAGGAAGTCCCAGGGGCCGAGGACCCCCCACCAGTCCATATTTTAGGCTAGTGATCCAGCATAGGGCAGGCTGCAGAGCTGGCATCACCCCTTTACTACAGGTCTGGAGATTCCTCTGGGCCCCCAGGTAGAGACCTTGCATCTACTCCATAGCTGTGTGAGACTGGGCACTTGCCTGGCCCTGAGAACTAGCCTCCGGCCACTTCATGGGACAGGCCTCCGCTGGGGGGTAGAGGGCAGGACTGGCTAACCAGAGGCTCCTTCCAAGCCACCGTACACTCACTCCCTGCAGCAGATAATAAACATCACAGATTATGGAATTGGGGTTCACTTTCTATTCCCTGAATAGGAGAGACAGGAGCAAGTAAGAAGAAATGCTCACAGCTTGTGGCCATCTGGAGGGAGAGTTGTCAGGCTACTTGATATTCAAAAAACCAGGTCTCCCAACAGTGAGTTCCAAATAATATGCCTTGATGTAGATACTCTCCCACAGAGGATGTGGGGCTTAATCCTCATCTCCCCCAACCCCTGCCTGTCACCACCCCTTGAGGATGAGCTGAACTTAGTGACTCGCTTCCAAGGAATAGAGCTGGGAAAGGGAAAGATAGTAGATTACATGGAGAAGCCTGGCAGACACCACCTAACCAAGTGATGAAGATGAGCACCGCCCGTGCTGTCCTGTGCATGTCACCCACCCCTGACAGGATACGATGAGAAGGGTGCTTCATTTCCATGGTATTCCTACCAAAACCTCCCAGCCCCAATCTAATTGTGAGACAAACATCAGATGAACCCAGTTTGGGGGATATTCTACAGGATACCTGGCCAGTACTCAAGACTGTCAAGGTCATTAAAAACAAGGAAAGACTCAAAATCTGTCACAGAGCAGCGGACACTGAGGAGACACAATGACTAAATGCAGTGCGGTGTCCTGGATTGTGTCCTGGAACAGAGAGAGGACATTAATGGAAAAACGGATCAAATCTAAATACAGGCTCAAGTTTAGTTAATATCGTTATTAGTTTCTTAGTTTTGACAAGTATGCCACAGTTATGCAAGATGTTAACATTAAGAGAAGCTGGGTGAAGGATATATTTGAACTTATTGTCTTTGCAACTTTCCTGTAAATCTGAATTTATTGCAAAATTTAAGATGTATTTATTTGTTTTAAAAATGCAGTTGATCCCAAGTTTGTGAAATGTGTGTATGGGCACACATGCAGAAAACTGTTATGGAGGAACAAGGAGGGTTTAGGTCTTTTTCTTGTCTGTATTTTTAAATTTATCTGCAGCTGACATGTGTCACTTCTGTAGAAAAAAGAAATTAGAGTTGTTTTTTAAAACCCTCATGTTCAACCAGCCATGGGCATCCCTCACCAGAAACCTGCCCAGAGGTGACCTTCACAGTTTCCAGGAACTGGTGCAGGTCCAGGGCCTGCCAGTGGGTGCTCAGCAGGACCCTGACAAGGGGGTCGCCCTTCCCTGCGGGTGCTGGACCCTCAGGGCCAGAAACTCTGGGTCTCACAGAGCTGTTTCTCAGCACTCAGTGCTGGGAATGGGGATCTAGCCCTAACCCTGCAAGACTGAAATGAGAGGATTTTTCTTCTGCCTGCAGCAGAGACTGTGGCCCTTGGGAATGAGGGCGGAGCCTGGGGTAGAGGTGGGGTAGGAGGGAGGGGTCAGGTTTTCCCTGGCTGGATAGACAAATATACCTCTGTTTTAGCAAAGCCTTTATGTGAAAATTCAGATTTACCAAAAGGGCTAATTCATCCTGGAATCCTTAAATGAGGAGCTTTTCCTCACTGTAGAAACACAGCTATTTAGTAAAGCAGGTGAGCCCTGAGCCTCTGGCATGCCAGTCCCAGAGTAGCTGGGGTGGCCATGTGGTCATTTCCCTGGTGACACCCACTCTTGTCTCTGCATCCCTGGCTCCCCAAGGTGCCCAAAGGACACTTTCCTGCCTTTGTCATCTGCTTCAGGGTGGCGGGCAGATGTGTGCTCCTCTGCACAGAGCAGGGGTTTGAGGAGTTAGTCTCTAGGGATTTAGCTGGAGGAATAAAAGGAGCCTGGAACATTTTTTGCCTAGAACATTTATTTTAATAAACTTGGGACCAAAGATTTATTGGGGAGACATTGATGTTTGAGAAACTAAAAATGTTTTACGTCATTCGGTTCTCTCCCCCACAGTTCATCTTGGAAAGCCAAACAATCCCTGAATTGTTTCCGTGGAAACACCAAACTGCAATTTGGATTAGCAGAATCAAAATAGAAACAAGGCAGCTTCAAGAATAAATAGGAGCTTTGGAACCTGCTAGTCACCAACTGCCAGTTCAAGCTACAGCACAAGGCATGTGAGAAGCTGGGCCCATCCAGCTCTATAAGGAGGGGTTTCCAGGTCCCCTGGCTACATGCTGCCGGGTCAATGCCAAAGTCACTAGAAACCAGCTCTGTCTGCATACTGGTAGACTTGTAACAATACTTAATGTAGGAGCTGGTCTGTAGAAGCTAGGAGAGGCTGGGGGTCTGGAGGGAAAGTGGGGGGAAGAAGGGACAGGAAAAAGGAGAGATGAGTGAATGCCGAGTGAAGTTCCAGCAAGGAGCAGAGGCCACAGCTGAGGCCTGAGAGTACAGCAACAGTTCTTTCAAGAGGACAATTCAAGGGATTTCCCCAGTGGTCCAGTGGTTGGGACTCCGAGCTTCTACTGCAGGGGGCGCGGGTTTGATCCCTGGTCAGGGATCTAAGGTCCCACATGCCACGCAGTGTGGCAAAAAAAAAAAAAAGACAATTCAAGGGTGGCCAAGGGCTGGAAACAGTGACCCTATCCTCAGCCCCATCTGGATTGCAATGTTCCTCACATTCCTGTCTAGCAACACAGGTCTAGACTGGAGTCTGAAATCTTGCCAGGTAAGCTCTGGGGGCACTTGTGGTCAGTAAGCACCTGCTTCAGTGTAGCTCCAGCCAGCACAATCAGGCATGCAAGCCTACCTTCTCATCTCTGAGTCTCAGGGTTCCCTCCCCCTACCTACTGCTCCCCTCACCAGGGGAATGGGGGAGGCATCTCCTGGCCCACCTGCCCTGGATCCTTGGCATTCTCCTGGACCCTGCACTTCCAATCCCAGGGAAGACTCCAAGGGGGTCAGGAGACAAGGAGGAGGGAGGTAGATAACCTGGGGGACTTTTGCCCCTCACCTTTGCACCCAGGAATGTGCTGATAGGGCAGCAACACCATCCTGCCACTGGAGGAGTTGTGAGCTATTAATGATCAAAGAAATTGATGAAAAGGATTTGCAAAAGAGGCCAATCTCCCTCCTCCCTCTAACTGAGGCACAAGACGTTTAACATGGCAGTGAAGGCCAGTGAACTAGGCAAGCAAACCAGGGAGGCCACTGCACCTGATTATGGGTAGTTATTGGAAAGGCTGTCATCTAGAGACAACCTGAGACTGGTAATTTGCTTTCTCCCTGGAGTATGTGGGAGAACATTAATATTTTAGGTTCCAGCTAAATATTTATAGAGGGAACAAAGTTTTACTCAGGAAATCTGTTTGACAGTGGATTCCAGCCCTAGTGGGGAGGACTTTCCATGCTAGGCCAGCTGGAAAATGCCTGATTTGATGAAGAGTTTTGGCCTAAGGCCTGGCATGAAAAACAATTGCAGAACTACGTTCAGCTCTTGTAGGAAACCACTATCTTTTTTGAGGGCTAAAAGTCTGTTGTTTTCTGGGCACTTTGGATGGGAGCTGGCCTGGGAGAGAGGAATGGGCATCTTATAGGAGATACGTCATCAGGACCCCTTTGAAACGTCTGAGACAAAGAAGGGAAGTTGCAAAGGGATACCAGGGAGACCCAACTTTCGGGACAGGCTGCTAGGAGCTGTTTGAAAGATAAGAAATCCCTGCTCTCAGTAAGTATTTATCAAGTGTCTACTAGTGCCAGACACTCTCCTGGATGCTGAGGATACAGTAGGGACGAGGCAGATGCTGCTCTTGCTTCTGGAGTTTATATTCTACTGTGCAATGTGGGCAAACACAAAAATACTGATATATCATTTCAGATGGAACTGTATGAGAGAAATTAAAACAGGGTAAGGGAATGGGCAATGAGTAGGGTGAGCCCCTTCAGAAGAGGAGAGGTCAGGAAAAGTCCTCTCTGTAGGTGACATTTAAATTGATACTTGAATGTCAAGACAATTAGGTGCTGCAAGTGGCTTCACTTCCATCCTCAGACTGTAACTGGAGTTGTATAGAGGGAGGAGCCCCTAGGTGGGCCCTAGGCCGGTAGACCTCCCACCACATCCACCCCTGTGTGGCTACATACATCTCTATCAGCATCCAAAGAGCCAAAAATGTTGCGTGCTCCAGGGACGTGCCTGGGCTGTGTCATGCTCACCAAATTTGGCAGGAACACAATAGTTTAAAAAAATAAAAGAAAAAGCCTTAGGAATAAAATAAGAAACAGAATATCCTTTCTGATGATTGCCAGAGACAGGCAGCATAATTTTAATTAACCCAGCCTTGTTAGGCGATAAATTTACTGCTCATTCTACAAAAACACCCAGCTCATGTAACACTGAGTCACTCTGATCTTTGACTTTAAACAAAATTAAATACTTTTTTTTTTTTCTTTTTTGCGGTACGCGGGCTCTCACTGCTGTGGCCTCTCCTGTTGCGGAGCACAGGCTCCGGATGCGCAGGCTCAGCGGCCATGGCTCACGGGCCCAGCCGCTCCGCGGCATGTGGGATCTTCCCAGACCGGGGCACGAACCCGTGTCCCCTGCATCGGCAGGCGGACTCTCAACCACTGCACCACCAGGGAAGCCCCAAAATGAAATACTTTTGAAGAAATACAGGATTTCATAACTCACAGCAGAATCAAAGAACAGAGGGTCCTGCTTTGGCATTTCAAAGTTGGACAAGACCCTTCGATGAGAAGGCCACAGTCATAAATACTGGTGGAGTTCTCTCAACAGGGTCTCAACTGTGAAGTAAAATGACTAAACCTTTCAACTTAGAGTAATAAAACATTTCCAAATACAGATCCCTCTGATCTACAAGCCTCACGCTAACTGCTCCACAGTCACCTGTAGTCAGTTTGGGACGGGCTGGGCTGCTTCCTCCAGTGCCGTCCTTGCACAGGCAGAGAAAACCAGCAGGGAAGGCAGTGGAGGCTGGCAGAGGGCAGGGTGAACAGATATCCAGTGAGACCCACAGGGAGAGTAGAGGCCAGGGCACCCTAAGGCAGAGCCCAAGTCTGTACTTCCTAGGACTTGAAGAGAGAGGGCTGCTGCCATTGCCTGTGGCTGTAGACTGCAGGATGCCCTTGGTCTGGAAATGAGAGTGAAAGCACCTTAGGCTGGTTCCTGGTAGCCCTGCTGAAGGTGTCACAGGCAAATTAAACTCTCCCAGATTTTTGTGGGATACATAACCCTGAAAATAAAGAATATAAAAATGAGAAATCAGGAACCATTACTTTCTGTAATGGCCCACACAGAAGCCCCATTTTCAGGAGTTCCCTGGCGTTCCAGTGTGTAGGACTCAGCACTTTCACTGCCGTGGCCCAGTTTCAATCCCTGGCCAGGGAACTAAGATCCCCTGCAAGCTGTGTGGCACGGCCAAAAAAAAAACACCCCATTTTCAACCCTGTACTGGCTTGATAATAGGCAAATTCTGGAAGCTGTCCATCCATGAGGATTTTTACTTTCATAAAAAAAAGAAAAATCAGGGCTTCCCTGGTGGCGCAGTGGTTAAGAATCCGCCTGCCAATACAGGGGACACGGGTTCGAGCCCTGGTCCGGGAAGATCCCACATGCCGTGGAGCAACTCAGCCCGTGCACCACAACTACTGAGCCTGCGCTCTAGAGCCCACGAGCCACAACTACTGAAGCCCAAGTGCCTAGAGAAGCCACCGCAATAAGAAGCCCGTGCACCGCAACGAAGACCCAACACAGCCAAAAATAAATAAATAAAATTAAAAAAAAAAGAAAAGAAAAATCAGTTTGAGTAGGGTGTGGTTTATTCAAAATCATCTTAGGAGAAGCGTAAGGAATAAAAAGATGGTACACACCTTAAAAGTTTTATCTTTATTTTTTGATTTTTTTGTATTACAAAAGAAGTACATATATATTGCAAAAATTCAAAAACTTCAACAAGATATTATTAGAAAGCCAAAGTCTCATATAAGCGCACTGCTCTCCAGAAATGATACAGGGCCCACAGCCACTCTCATTAGCTTTAAAAGAGTGGTTGAAAACAGGACAGGGGAAAACGGCTAGAAAGAAAAATGGAACCGTGTGCCTGTGAAGAGTGTGGTTCCCGGCATTTGGTGCATGTCACCTCTCTTTTCTTGGTGGCTTTATATTTCTCTGTTCACAGGAAGTCTGACTTTGTGTGTGCCCTATAATATTTCCACTGACCAAAAAATGCAGATGCTCTCACAGCAAAACTGGATACAAATAATAATTTAAAAAAATCCTGAGGCCCAGAAAGATATTGGTCATGTGAAGGAAATGTTTGAAGACCAAAAATGTGTTTGGGACACATCCTGCCACACCAACAGTTTTGTGAGAGCCCTTCTGCTACTGGATACTCCATATGGAAGGCAGCCCTCCTTCTACCAAACACAACACCCTCCTCCTTATGCCCCACACCCAGGCTGCTGCCCCAGCTCTCACCACCACCTCTGCACACATTTCATTCCCCTAAATAAGGGTGTATTTATCCCTATGCTTTGTCATGGGCAGCACCTGGTACCCAGAATGCTGGATCTGCTCCCCAGCCCTGCACTGACCACCACTCCCTCCAAAGCATAGCCTCTGACCCTGAGGGATCCAGGCAGGCCTTTGGGAACTTTCTGCTGTTAGCCAGCACAAAGTTCTGTGATTTGTCTTTCCAGCTGAGACCAATAAACCATCAGCTGAATTCACTATGGGCTGGTCAGAAGCCATCATCACTGCTATCAAAACCCAGGTCATAGAGCATATTCTTCCTTGGCTCCTTGCACTGAGGGGGCTCTTTTCTGATGCTGAGGTCACTGAACCAGCTCATCTGTTGGTCCCCCTGGGAACTGTGAGAAAGCAGGCTGTTGTCTTGGGAAGCATGCCCACTGTACTGCAAGAGATTCCCTTGCACTGCCCTTGCTGTCTTACTGGGCATGACTCTTCGTCTCAGAGCAGAGCAGACTGGTTTTGTGGGGCTCCTGGGGCCCTGAAGATGCAGGGGCTGAGCAAGGGGTTCCTGCCACCCCTGGGGGGGCCTTTGTGGGATGGAAACTGGAGGGTGAGGATATTTAGAATTGGAAGCACAGGTTTTGCTTGGGGTTTGTTCTTGCTTCCTGGCTAGGAGCCTGCTTCTGGGGGCTTTCCTGGGATGCTGCTTCTTGCCTTTCCCCCCTCTTTCTACAGTTCTGCCTTTCTGTTCAGTCACCAACCTTTGTTCACAAGGGTTACACGAAAACATGCCTTTGGCTTGACATTTTTGGCAGGTGTTCTTAGTGCTGGTTGCAAAGTTGTTTAAATCCAGGGATATAAGCCGCGAAGCTCCTTGGGAAACCAGGTCCCTGTCTTCAGGCATCTTGTGGCCTAGGATGCCAGAGCCATCGTTCTCAGAGCCTGTTTTAGTATTAGCACAATTCTGGCAGTTAGTCTGCACTGCCTTGTCCTTGATTTGCCTGTTTCTTTTGCCAGTTCCAACTGCCAGCGGCACAGCCTTTTCTTGGAGAGCACTACTCTTTGCTCCCTCACCCCAGACGCCAGACTCCCCAGGCCTCAAGGAGCCCACACTAAGATTGCATGCAGCAGGGAGGGCCTGGGCCTGCCACATAACTCGTTCCTCAGAGGCATATTTCTCCTGCCTGGTGAAACTGAGGCTCTGGGCCAGAGGTGGTGAAGTCTGAGAAGCACTGTCCTTCACATGTCTGGGTATCCGAGAGACAGAGATCAATTGATTTAGCTGTGCTAGGACACTGGGCATATTCAGCTGGCCTAGCTGCTCATACAGCTGCTGGAAGTCCTTACTCTGCTGAGCAACTAAAACTTCAAAGTGCTTCAGGTTGGACTTCATTTCTATAAACTCTGCTTGTCTCTAAAGAAAGGCAATGAGAAAGAAGGGAGTTACGGACAGTGCAACTCAGAATGCACAATATAACATGTGAACAAAACAAAGGATGGGCCAGCAGATCAAAACCTTGTCCCTTGCTGGGTACTATACAGGGGATACATGACTACACTCTGGAGCAGGGTCCCTAGGGTCCACATCATGCCAGAGAACCTTGGGAAAGGAAGCTGGCCTCTACCCTGGCCTGTTACCAAGGGGCCTGTGGTGGCCTCTGTTCTTGGCTGAAATTTGCAATTTTAAAGGTGTCTCTCTAGGTCTTAGTAACAAAGCCATAAAGACACTTGAGGAAAGGAGTCAGGGTCTACACTTACACCTTCAAATCTCTTTTGCAGCTCAAGGATGGCCTGTTCCATGTTGCATTTGTCCCGCACTGTTTCCAACACCAGATCACTCTGGGCCTTCGTGGTCTCTTGCACTAAATACAAAACAATGACAATTCACCACATGAAGACTATGGTATGCCCCACCCTGCCCAGGCCACAGTCGTGGAGAGGGAGAAGCTGGAACCCGGCACGGGCTACCAGGGCCTGCTCTGCCAACACCCAGAACTCTAACCATCCAGATCAGCCCTGGTGAGGAGAGAGAAAGCAAGAACAGGGTGGTTCCTCCACTGTCTCTCCTTCCCTCCCTCCCTGAGAACATCCTGGCCAAAGCAGACTCAACCTTAGCACCTGCTGGGGACTCTGAAACCTGCTGCCCAGATGATGGCACCAACGTCCTCTTTGGCCAGCCTTCTTGGCCCTGTCATCAGAGTGATCTTTCTAGAATGTAGATATGATCATGCCTCCTCTAAAATGGTCACTGGAACTTTCAATGGTACCCCACAGGCCACTGGATGAAGTCCAAATCTTTCAATAAATTGGCTAACAAGACCCAGGCTCACTTCCCTTTGACTCACTATCCTCTGCATCTCTGAGTTCTGCCTAAGCAATCTCTCTTCCACCATTGGCTTTTTTTTTTTTTTTTTTGCGGTACAGGGGCCTCTCACTGCTGTGGCTTTTCCCGTTGCGGAGCACAGGCTCTGGACGCGCAGGCTCAGCGGCCATGGCTCACAGGCCTAGCCGCTCCGCGGCATGTGGGATCTTCCCAGACCAGGGCAAGAACCAGTGTCCCCTGCATCGGCAGGCGGACTCTCAACCACTGCACCACCAGGGAAGCGCTTCACCATTGGCTTTTGAACATGCTGTTCCCTTGGTTTATAGTACTCCTGCTTCCATCCCTCAGGAATGGGAGAAAAAAAAAAAAGGATCCTCAGAATGATGGTGAAGTCCTAAGAAGAGGACATAAAGCATAGCCTGCCCAATCTGGAGCTGGAGGCTGAGCTCCAGGCAGGACACCTCTAATGAAAAAGTGAAACAGAAAGACTCCCCAATGTGTTTGAACATATTAATTGGAGATTTACAGTTTTTTCTGAAGGTTTATTATCAGACACTGTGCTAGGTGCATGGAAACAATCTTGAACAAAACTACTTACATGAACTTTGCAGTCTTGAAGAAGAAAAAAATAACAA